GAACAATATTTGAGAGAAATAGGTCTTTTCTGTATATAGAAAATGTTTTAGGAATTTGATTGACACAAAATAATCTTAGGATCCACCTGGCCTTCAGAAAGGTAATACTGTTAGACAGCCTTTGTAAATAAGAATTTGTTCTCAAATGCTTACCTGGTTAAAATTGAGATGAAAAAAAAAAACAGTATTATTTGTCACATTTGCATTAACTGATCATAAGTCTGTCTGTCTGTCTGTCCTTTTCATGTACTTTCAGTGAGTTGAACCCTCTGGAGACAGGATCCAGCCAGCCATCCAAAAGGTCAATAACAGCCTATATATCTATATCTGAGAGTGCCAAAAGTAAGAAAAAATAAAGAATCCAGTCAACAACATTATGTGATTGTGTATTTGTGTAATTGCACAGTTTAAAACACTATTTATTTTACTTTTTATTCATAAATAAGTGCTCAAAATATTTTTTGCTTGCGCGCTTTGCACACTGGCATGGTTTGTACCTCACTAGTTTCATAACCCTGGTTACGGCCCTGATATTTCAGCATTTTCCTAATTTCTGTGATAAACAGTCAATGAAATTGTCATTTTTTAAAGTTAATATTATTATTTAAGACAGTGGTTCTCAACTGGTGCATCCACAGGGTCCAGATTTCACTTTAGACATCGGTTGAAGGTCCCACAGTTTAATATATTCAGTGTCCAGATAGTTTGCTGTCTCTGTCAAGTAGCTGTCCGTTATTCACTCACTCTACAGCAGGAAACGACACTTCAAAATGAATACTATTTGCAAGAAATTCACTGTACTTAAAAATAAAGAGTATTTTAAACAAACTTGACATGTTTGTGAGTCACTTGCAGGCCATTGAGAATGGACCCCATCCCACTAGTTGGAAATCACTGATTTAAGACTGTCTTTAAGATTTAAAAAAATTTGATGGGGCACATCCTGCATTAGAAAAGTACGCAGTTAAAACAACCAAAGAGCTAATAGACCAATGGAGAAGCAAAAGGAGGAGGAAAACGCTAATTTTCTCAACAAGAAAGAAGCCTTTTAAGTGTGTATGACTATTACAAAAAAAAAAAGAAATACATAATACAGAGAATCCTATAAAAGTTTATGGAAAACTTATCTGTGATGCAAAATTCACAGGAAATAATCACTCATTTTACACAAACTTCCTCGGCTTTGGGGTAAATTGTACAGTATATTGTGTTATTTCATAGTTATGCAGTCTATATAATTTGGAATATCCATAAAACTAAGTCAGGGGTCGTCCGGGGATTCAGTGACAGAAAAGGGGCTCCTTAATCATTTGTTGTTTTCATGCCATCAGGGAAAACATTCAGTAATCAGCATGAAAAAACAGCAAAATGGGAGTGTATTAATATGAGAATATCTGTATATTTGAAGCAATTAAAAACACATGTAAACATTTTACAAATATTGTAGAGCTGATGCGGGCATAGCTTTAAAAGCCAATAAGCCTTGTGATAGTAATAGTATAAAACCTTCTAGTAGGTTTATATATAAACATATGTAAATATATGTATTAGTTGTATAAAACTGGTTCATTTCTTAACTAATTCATGTAGTTTTAGATGTGCCAATAGTGTCCCCTTCCTTGTGACAGGCATCTCTATGTCTCAGTAATGACTAATTTCCAGAGCTTTGGGGACCTCTAGTGGCCGAAAGGAAAACTAACAGCTGCTTAATGTGGTCAACCTCCACACCATAAGTCTGGTTTACAAACTAATAAGGAAATAATTTAAAACGAATGCTTTTACAAACCTCATTTCCTTTATTTGTTCAGACATGTCATGTGTCCAAGATTCTCTGGCAGCTTTTTTTAATGGATTTTGTGGATGTGATCGCTAATGCTGGGCAGAATAGGATAATCATTACGAACACATCTAAAAGAAAAAAGGAAGATGAGCACTTGTATTTTCTTGTCTCTGGTCACCTGATGAATGTACAGCTATAGTTGTTGAATTTGTCTTCTGCTGGTGATGGGCAGGTAGAGTACAGTAGGGTTATCAGAGCTTGTACCCTAAAAACAGCAGCCTCCTGTGGCTGGAAACAGGGATGACGAGAGCAGTGAGAATATGCTCAAAGGCAGAGCTGAGAAGAGCAGCAGAGTCTGATAAGAACTCGCCTTCAACACTGCATAGATCTATAGTTGTTTGATCCACTTTTAATGCAATAATATTGATTCGTACAGCTTTAAGATCCACAAGATCAAAAGATCATCACCTTGTGTGCCTGACTTTTGCAGAAGCAGTTGCCAGGCAACCACCAACCTGAGACTCCAGGAAGTTGCTCCTGGTTAAAAGAAACTCAGCCAAGTCACAAGAAGAAAATGTTTGCATTGTATGTTTCTGCAAAATATACGTATCATATCAACATTTCTGAAGTGACATAGCATGTGAGGGAATAGTGGATGGCGTGTCACTGAGGCAAGATGGCCGCCAAGCTGCAGACCACTATTTGAGAGCAACAAACAGCAAAAGGGGTTGTGATCTAGCGAGTTGTTGCTATATTTTCTGCGGCTTTTAGGCAACAAATATGGGTGTTTCTTAGGGACTCATGGCTGTTTTTCTGGTGGCTTCAGCCCTCAAACGTGGGTGTTTTTTAGAGACCTGCCTCTGTGTTTTATGCAGCTTTTAATCCCCAAACACTGGTCTTTTTTAGGGACCTGTGACTGTTTTTCCAGTAGCTTTTCAACCCACAGACATGGGCATTTTTAAAGGACCCGATAATGTGTTTCATGTGACTTTTTTGGCCCTCAAACTTGGGTCTTTTTAGGGACCCATGGTTGTGTTTCATTTGGCTTTTCAGCCCACAAATATTGGTGTTTGTAGGGATCTGTGGCTGTTTTCCAGCAGCTTTTTAACCCACAGATATGGACATTTTTAAAGACCCATTATTGTGTTTCATGTGGATTTTTTGGCCCCCAAACTTGGGTGTTTTTAGGGACCCATGGCTGTTTTTCCACTGGCTTTTCAACCCCCAAACGTGGGTGTTGTTTGGGACCTGTGGCTGTTTTTCCAGCAGCTTTTCAGCCACCAAACATGGGCATTTTTAAGGACCTATCATTGTATTTCCTGCTGTTTTTAAGCTCCCAAATGTTTGTGTTTTTTAGGTAACTGTTGCTGTTTTTCCAGTGGGGAAAGTGCCAATGAAAAACAGTTGTTTTTTTACAGAGACAATGCTGCATTTCTTGCCAGGATAGTGACATGAAAAGTGTTTTTTAATTTTTTTATGGAGACTTCCCTGCTTTCCCGGTGGGGATTTTGCCCCCAAAACTGGGTGTTTAAGCCTAAACCTAACCATGCACTAACCACAGCATTGTTTAAACGTAGGGTGTTAATGAATCTGCTGCATAATAACATGCAAAGTAATGTTTCTCTGTGTAGAAACGTACAACACCAGCATTTTCTCTGGCGACTGCTGGAAATACTCTAACACATAATCAGTGGTGGTAGAAGTATTCAGATCTTTTACTTCAGTAAAAGTAGCAATACTACACTGTAAAAAAAAGAAAGAAAAAAAAACTCTGATAAAAGTAAAAGTACTGCATTCAAAATTGTACTCAAGTAAAAGCATTAGCATCATAATGTACTTAAAGTACCAAAAGTAAAAGTATTCATTTTGAAGAATAGCCCATTTCAGATTGATATATATTATATTACTGAATTATAATTGGTGATGCACTAATGTCACTTTAATGTTGCAGCTGGTAAAGGTGGGGATAATGTTAGTTACTTTATATACTGATGGGAAGTGTAACCATAGGTGGATTACTGAATGGGCCTACAGGTCAAAGTCCCAGGGGGCCCTCTGCCCATCGCCTGCAAAATGTCACTCAAATTAACATGTACCGATCAGGAAGAGACTCAAAATGACCACAAAGAGACACAAAGGAACTGCAAAGAGAAATATAATAACTACAAACAGATGCACAACGACCACAAAGAGACACAAAACGATCAAAAAAGACACAAAATTAACTCAGAGAAACACAAACAACAAAAAAGAGGCAAAACCACCACAACGTCTGAGTGTCATGCCCCTGTGTAGAAGAGGTTGTGAGGTCTTTTGCATGTAGTCATCCAGTCATATATGTTAATGACTGGGTCAACATCTCCAGTGCAGCACTAATCCATAGGTCTCTATTTCGCGGTACAGCTGTCAAACTGGGTCACTCCCAGTAGCAGACAAGCCGACCAATCCCAGTGTCTCCCAATGTGGACTCTCTGGGCCGACCAATCGCAACGTTTCAAATCGATCCGGAAAAGGCGAAGTGATCCATATAGACAGGTTTGACCCCACCCACAGTATCAGAGAAATATGAGAATGAATCGCCCACACGTTTTAAAGGGTTCACGTGCTGACCGTGGTCAGTGAATGTAAGCTGCTAAACTGACCCTGTCACTCCTCCATACACATCATGTGTTTCAAAGATCTCAAATCTGCTTGGAAAGTGTCTGCAGTTTGCCTGTGTTAGATCTCACAGAACCCTGTGCTGAACTCCAATCAGAATTTTCGCTATTTAATATTTTCTTAATTATTACCGAATGTACAAAGTAGTATCTTGGGATGAAGGACTGTAATATAGAACACTAGAAACCAGTTTTCAGTTCGGCGTAGTTATAATTTTTAAACAGCATTGCATTCGTGCAAAATGTTGACTTTTATAACTGGGACAACAGATGTTTTCCAATTGAGGATGCGCGGTCGAAGCCGGGCAAAGAACACAAGGAGGCCATTATAAATGTGGAGTGTTATGTCCAAATTAAAGTTGTTTTGTCGGTTTTGTTAAGCCGAATCAAAGAGTAGTAGCAGTGATTAGACATAGCATTGAGTCATGCCTTGTGAGTCATGTATTTTGACTGATAAGCACACGCGAGGTAAAATCCCCACATTTCTAAACGGAGATCGCCACAGGGATGAACTAGACTGTAGTTGACTCTCATCTTTCCCCCAGGAGGCTCTGCTTCCCAGCCCCTTTGTTCAGTCTAGCCGGTGGGTTGAGTCAGAGGGAGGCTGTGCTAACCCAACATATCCTCACCACCGTGGGAACACCGACAAGAGTGAGAAGAGGCCGGGGAAAACAGCGAAGGTTACCCGGGGAGTCTGTTAACGGAGAGTCGGACAACGGAAAAGTTGTTTTTGAGTGTTGCTGATGCTGCGTTTCATTTCGGGAACAACCGTCAGGACCTGTGTGCTTCTATTCCGCTACTGAAACAGCCTTATATGTCGACTGTTTTCGCTGAATGGTGGCTGCTTTAGCTATCTTCCTGTGTAAAATATGAACCGGCAGGCTAACTGCTAACCATCCCCGGTGTGTTGCTGACACCGTGCAGTTGTTGCCATCATCCACGCTGACTCTCCCTTTCAGTTTCTGCTCAGCATCCATATTTGCATCCCAGGGAGTGGCAACCACTAATCCCCCGCTCCTGGCAAGAAGATTGAAAGTTGGCCGGTGGTCGGACACCCCCTCGGACGCTCTTATTTCACACAGAAAGGTGAGTATTTTCCTGTATTAATGTGTTTTCATGTCATTTTCTTTTCCCTGGGAGGGACCGGGGGGTGTAAGTGAAGGGCAGTCTGGACCACGTTGCCGCAGTCGCTACAACAATGGATCAAACTGGCGTTGTGTTACATTTTTGTGGAGGTGCGCATTATCATCCCAACCCTTTCATCCTGTTTTCAGCAAAATCAGGTGTCGGTTGGAAAATGAATCCAGGCCCATTTGAAGAAAAGCCTAGGCTGTATAAAAGCCACAGCAGCCGACACTCCTGGGCCTTATTTTACACTTCAGTCATACCAAAACCATCTTTCTCGACAGGTTTAATAGGATTGATTGCCCTAGAAATAAAAATGCACATCTTCTCATTAGCCAAATGATGGTAAATATTAATGAAAATGCTCAACAAGCCTGATATGTAATGCTTTCTTCCCTCATACACAGTGTTTAGTTTAAAGCCTAAACCAGATGTGTTGTTTATTGTAGGCTATAACAGCATTATATCTTCTTAATGGCTTTTGGGCCATGATTTGTAGGCCATGCTCCACTTGGGCACCGGCCTACATTGACTCCCAGTCATGTTGTTAAAATGATAAGTAAACCGTGTAAGAATGTGTGAAGCAATGAGGTGTTATTAATAATGATAGATTTACTGTGACAAATGTAATCATAGTGACAAGTTGGGTTGCTAGGTGTTAACTAGGTCAGATAACCTGGATAAGACGTGTAAAAATGGTCAAAAATAGACTTAAAGGTCCAGTGTGTAGGATTTAGGGGGATTTATTGTCAGAAATATAATGTAATAATTATGTTTTCTTAACTGTATAATCACCTGAAGATAAGAATCATGGTGTTTTCGTTACCTTTTGGTTAGGTTTATATCTACATATGGAGCTGGTCATCATCCACAGAGTCCGCTATGTGTTCCCGACATGTTTCTACAGTAGCCCAGAACGGAAAAACCAAACACTGGCTCTAGATTGGCCCATTTGTGTTCTCGCCACCGTAGTTGCCCCTCCGCCATGAGCCGAACAGCATTGGAAAAACACAGATTTTAAGTGGTCAAATGCTTTATTCCGTGCTTTTATCGGTTTAAATCAGTGTAGCCGTCTGTTTTGGAGAGGAAGAGACCTCTCCGGATAATTCGGCTCCCGGTAAAAACCTCCTGAACATCTGGATCTTAAGTTATCACAGAAAAGAGATGAGCACACATTAGCAGGTGCTGAGCTAATGGCCATTCTGGCTTGAGCCGAACAGCATCGGAGAAACACTGATTTCCTTTATGTGAAACTGCTTTACTCTGGTTTTGTATTGGCTTAAATCACAGTGTCCGTTTCTTTTGGAAAGGAAGAGACCTTTTCAGATAATTCAGCTCCCAGTAAAAAGCTCCTGAACATCTGGATCTTAAGTTATCACAGAAAAGAGATGAGCACACATTAGCAAGTGCTGGGCTAATGGCCCTTCTGGGATGAGCCAAACAGCATTGGAAAAACACAGATTTTTTGTGTTAAAATGCTTTATTCCGCATTTTTATCGGTTTAAATCAGCGTAACCGCCTGTTTTGGAGAGGGAGAGACCACTGCGGAAAATTGGGCTCCAGGTTAAAACCTCCTGAACATCTGGATCTTACGTTATCACAGAAAAAAGATGAGCACACATTAGCGAGTGCTGGGCTAGCGGCCCATCTGCAATAAGCAGAACGGCACTGGAGAAAACCTGATCGTTATTGTGAAACTGCTTTACTCAGTGGTTTTACCAGTTTAAATCAAAGTGTCCGTTATTTTTGGAGAGGAAGAGACCTTTTCAGATAATTCAGCTCCCAGTAAAAACCTCCTGAACATCTGGATCTGAATTATGAGAGAGAAGAAGGTGAGCACACATTAGCAGGTGCTGAGCTAGTGGCCCATCTGCAATAAGCAGAAGAGCATTGGAAAAACACTGATATTTATTGAGAAACTGCTTTATTCAGTGTTTTTATTGGTTTAAATCACCGTGCCTGTTTGTTTTGGAGAGGAAGAGACTTCTCCGGATAATACGGCTCCCGGTAAAAACCTTCTGAACATCTGGATCTTTAGTTATGAGAGAAAAAAGTTGAGCACAGATTAGCAGGTGCTGGGCTAGCGGCCTGTCTGTGAATGAGCTGAACAGCATCAGACAAACACTGATTTGTAACACAAAACTGCCTTATTCTGTGTTTTTATCGGTTTAAATCACCCAGTTATAACTGCCTGAACATCTGGGTCATGAGTTACCAGAGAAAAAAGGTGAGCACACATTAGCAGGTACAAGGCTAGCAGCCATTTAAAATGCAGAACAGCATTGTAGAAAACGTTTTTCACTGGTTTAAATCACCTGGTCCATTTGCTTTGGAGAGGACGAGACCACTGTGGATAATTTAGCTCCTGGTAACAACAATGAACACTGAAGGAATCCTTACCAGGAGTTCATGCTTGGCACATGGAAGAAGTCTCAGCTGGTTGTGTCGACAGTCTGCGCACTGCTCCTTTAACAGAGGTGAAATAGAACTAGAACAAACAAAACAGCTTTGATCTGTAGGTGTGTCTCTGTGCGACCACAGGGTTTGGTTGTTCATTAATGAGATGCTCCAGCTGAGAGCTCCTTGCCCTGCTCAGCAACGGTACTTACAGTTTTGGGATAGAGCCTTTATCTCATTAATTTCTACCTTTAGGTTTGCTATAGTGAGAAACACAAATGTGAATGTATTCATAGCCAGAAATAAGCACATAATACTTTGATATCTTCCTGTCACTTTTAACAGTGACACCTCCTACATTATTGGTGCCAGTTGAGCATGGTATGGCGCAGTATTTCAGACTCCTAAATGTAAACAAATCCTATTATAATCCTTTGTTTTTTGTCATTATATTTGGGATTAAAGTACAAATGAAAACCAGAAATATGAATGAAACTGTAAAAACCACATAGGACTAGACTTCTTGTCAATTTATGGCCTAGTGGGGACATTTCCTTTCCAGTTTCTTTCCTTTTAGAGATTTTAGAAGCCCGAAAAGTAAGAAGCACCAAGTATTTCACAAGAAAAAAAAATGAAATAACTATTCAGAAAACTACACTTTTTTGTTCTTTCTTATTCAACGTGACCCCTCAGATTTATCCAGTGAGACCTCAGTGGGTCCTAACCCCCATGTTGCTGCCCAAAGCTAATACTTAGGGCAGCTGCACTAAACCACAAATCACTGCACATACCTGAAGTATGCACCAAACAGTCAAGTCATGATAAGACTGGGAATTTCACTAATGTTTGAAAACCTGTGGCAAAAGACCTTTGTGTTATTCTCCTGTACAAACAGCGACACGTTTGGGGTGACACATAAGCTTGCACTTGAAGCAAGCGTCTTTTAGATTGCTTATTTACCTGTTATTTCTCTGAACTGTCGCTGTAATTATGACTGCCCTATCCCAACAGCTAAACATGGAGAGCGACAGCCACCACTCCCACATCTAGTGCCTGATCCACAAGCCTTCATCACCCAGGGAGGAGCTCTCGCGTCCCGGCCGTCTCCCTGCTTCTGTAGAATGAACATGCTCAAGTCCAGTGGACTAAAAATCCCTGGCCGGGGGCCCAAGCATTCCAGCCCAGTGGGAAGGACCTCAGGGGGTGGAACCTCCAGCCCTGTAGTCCCTAAAGACAGTAAGTTAACTTCCTCCTTCTGACCCCGTGGAAAATATAAGGAGTTTCTTTCTTCCAGCTATGCCTTCTCATCAGCGGAAGTGGCTTAGATCATTTATTTGTGTTAATGACTCACAAGAGCACAGCTGCATTAGTTTACGCACACAGAAGCTGTTTTCTTTAACTTCATCTTCCAGTGTATTTATAAAGATCTTCAACGCAGCTATTTTCTCGTTAGCATTCAGCAGTTTGAGAGGGTGCCATTTAAAGTAATGTATATTTAGATATGTGTGTATATATTCAGGCAGAGAGACTTTCAGACTTTGAAGAGAGTTTGAATGACATGCTTCTCTCTGGTCATTTCATACTTGGTGGTTTTAATGCAGCTTTTCTGTTGTGTAGTGATTCTTTTTTTTAAAGCTGCTCTAATCATTTTTAGTACTTTAAAAATTGATTTAATTGTAGTGACAAACCCACAGTGAGTATCACATGACTCTGCAGTTCCCCTCTGCTCTATGGGGCGTTTATGTGTCTTTCACTTAATTGTATCAAACAGTAGACACGTAGTTAGTAACTAGCTGCTGAACATAGTTTTGGCCTTACATTGGTTGGAAAGATGACTCCAAATAAATGCTAGTGTTGCTCTCTGTCTGCTGGATGTGTAAGGGCCGGGACGTTACGTTTGTCACCTCCTGGAAAACGGGAGATCAGGCACTGGGTGCTACTCTGTGCCAGCTTTCAAGGGTGTGGAGGCAGGTTGTGTCTAGTTATGGTCTAAGCAAGTGGTTCCCAACTAGTGGGTCACAGTCCAGAAGTGGGTTGCTGGTCCATTCTGATTGGATCGCAAATGTGTTACGTTTGTAAAAAACACACTTTATTTTTAAGTACAGTGAATTTTCAGCACAGAGCTTTTATTTTGAAGTGCAGTTTCCTGCCATAGAGTGAGTGAGTAACAGACAGCTACTTAACAGAGACAGCAAACTAGCTACAACATGGCCAAACGCAAGTATGATGCTGAATATATTAAACAGTGTGGACCTTGAACTGATGACTAAGGAGAAATCTGGATCCCGTGGCTGCACCAGTTGGGAACCACTGGTCTAAACGCCCATAACTAGCACTGTATCATAGCCTACTTACCAGTAATCTCGAGTTCAGCGCTGATCTTCTTCCGGTTGTTTTTTAAGTGTGTATTAGGCCTAAAATATCCGTGGGACAGATGAAAAGCTCCAGGTAGCCTTGGACTAAAATGTTTAACTTAATCTCCATATTAATCAAAGACTGAGGGGGTGTTCCAGACTGCATACTCTTTATTTTTACTTTTAGTAGGTACCGCAGCTGCCTTTATAGAGTGTGTACTGTTGTGTGCAGTATACTACTACTACTACTTGTTCATAATGTTACACCCTGTCTTACTATATCCGTTACCATGGAGATAAACCAAAATGCGTTCACTGAGCTTGCCAGAGACGGGGGGGCAACCCAATTCTAATGTTGTTATTTTGCAAGAAGTAATAACTACAGACATAGTAGATTCAAACATATTATATTCACGATAGTAAAATTACACCAGCTATGTCATTCTCTCATTGTGATTTGATACTTATGATTTTTTTTTTCAATTAAACAATTAATATTTCTGTTATTACTAGTCAACTGGTCATCAGTCACCTGAATATGCTGTCATCCATATCTTTCGCTGCAGAGGATTGTGGGTCAGAATAGCCAGAAAAGCATGCTGGTTTGCATACTGCTAAATCCGACCGGATGTAGTAGAACATCCTGGTATGTTTTTTACTGCGTTTGACATACTATGTAGTGACACATACTTAATCTTTTTCTGACATACTATATAGCAGTGGTTCCCAACTGGTGGGTCACGGTCCAAAAATGGGTTGCAGGTCCATCCTGAAAGGGCCGTTAATGAGTTGTGAACGTGTCACGTTTGTAAAAAACACTTTATTTTGAAGTACAGTGAATTTTCAGCACAGAGCTTTTATTTTGAAGTGCTGTTTCCTGCTGTAGAGTGAGTGACTAACTGACAGCTACTTAACAGAGACAGCAAACTAGCTGGATGACATGGCCAAACGCAAGTACAGTGGTGGAAAAAAGTTTTCGGACACCCTTAAAATTTTACACAATCTCAAATATTATCACGAAATATTTGTGGAAAAATCTTTTTTGTGTTTCAAAAGGTGTGGCTGCATTAGACAGATACAAACAAATNCTTCTTAGGCACGAAAACCGGTTGTTTATTTCTGAACTATTGCTGCTTTTCCTGCTAGGATAGTGGCAAACGAAAGTCAGCGTTTTTTACCGAGACATCACTGCTATTATTGCCGGGGCTGTGCCCCCCAGACCGGACAAAACGTAACCTTTTCCTTACCACAATCAAGTTGTTTTTGTGCCTAAAACTAACCACGTTAAATGTTAAGTTTTAACACATCTGCTACACAAAATAAATGTTAAGTATCCAAGGTTTGCAGAAACGTACAATGCCAACTTGGGTTGCCACTTTTTAAATGAGGGGATATTTCTTTTTAATGTTTTACAAAAGAGAAATAATACTGAAAACTGAAAATGCATAATTTACTTGAAGAACACTGCTCAATCTATATTTATCTTTTATCATACTTGCTTCTGATTAACAAATTCTGTTTCAGTGCTGTTGTAGTTATACCAACAACTACCCAAAACCACTTACGATTGTTAAGACAAACAGTGATAGCCTCAGAAACCCCAACCTGACAACAACTAGGAAACACACAAAATGCTCTGCAACATGGTGCCTTATCTATGATGCCTCAATAAAAAACTGTAATGTTGGCACACTGCAGAATCTTCACTTATCTGCCAGGATGTAGTTTTCATGGTGCAAGACAAACATCTAGACAACCGGTATCTTGCTGGGTACAAGGCTATATTTAGTCCACAGATGATAAAAAGAAATTTTCACCAGCTGGGTTTAAAATTTGCACAATTTTACTCTAGTCACTGCTCATTGTGTACAGCACAATTACTGAATGATTGGGCCCAACCCCATTTGTACTCTCTGGAAACATAAGGGACAAGAAAACAATTAGAAACAATGGATGCTGGTAGATAAGCTTAGTCTGTTCTGCTCTGTATTTCCAACATCCTGTTTTGTGTCTTTTGCTCTGTGTGCTTCCCTGTGGTTATATATTGCATAATGTATTGTATCACTTTTTCCTGTGATTACTGATGTTAGATTATGGTATGTTTTTTTTCTCCATAAGTCCTTTGAAACTTGCTTGTGATAAGGCCAGTTCAATAAATAAAGTGAAACATACTGTGGAGTGAAATAACAGTTAGTCTGAGGAAGGGGAACAGTCACTATGAATGGCAGTGTGGTAAGACAACACACTCAATGCTCCACTGGATCTTTGATGACACATACGGTGACTGAAATGAGGATAGACAGTGGGGGATGCTGGGAGATGTAGTTGACTGGCTTGGAGAAGCATGCAGCTCACTCGATAAAAAGGGCAGAACCCACCTTCTCCGCTCCCCGGGCCGGCCTCTGTAATTATCTCCATTAGAGAATTTAGCCCAAATACTGCACACAAAACCCAGAATTAGTGCCGCGAAAAGGTGGACAGAGAGAGGGACACCGGCCCAGACACAACCAGTCTGAACATCAACCCATAACACAACAGACATGCACACTCAACATGGCGCCAAAACAAAGAAAATAAAAGAGAAAAAGGCAGACAAAAAGAGAAAAAGACAATATGTACTGATGATGGTATCAACCCTGAAAGTGTTTGATAAGATGACTAATGCCATGTGTCTGGCAACACATTCAACATTTACAGTACCAAGTAGGAGCTGTGTGTAGCTCATACTTTGTTGTGTACACATCAGTGGCCTGAACCATGTGAATAATGAACAGTCCAGTAAAACAATGACAATGTAAATCTAAAGCAAGGGATGGAGTTGTTTCTTCTGAATTTGTGTATGATTTAAAGGGATAGTTCAGATTGTTGAACTGGGGTTGAATGAGGCACTTATCCATAGTCAACTGCAGTAGATGGCAATCAGCATGTACTCAGTTTGGAGAAGCAGACAGAAGTACCACCACGGAAACTTAGCAATGCTCAGCAAAAATTAGTCACTTAATAAAAGGCCTATCTAAAAATATACTATTAGTCTATGTGAACATTTCTCAACCTTAGAAATTCCATATTCCCACACATAAGCACAACTGTGCCATGCAGGTTAGCTGCCTGTGTCAGAAAGTCAGACTTTCGCAGATTTATGAAGGAGACAACGAAACTAAAATTACAAAAAGTGATTATGACAACGAAATGCCAAGAGCACAAGCTTAGTGCTTAGTCTTAGTCTTGCAGGTGGGGTGTTGACGTCTGTATACAGTAGGGGTGTGCCATATAATTTCGTTCACGATAACCTGTATAATTCATATGAAAAATTAATATCGTTATATTTGCGATATTTTGACTCGTTGACATATTGACATTATACTGTTACCCACGGCAACAACAAGCAAGAGATATTATTACAGACTCCACGGTGGTTCCAAAAAGAGGAGCAGCTTCAGTAGTGTGGAATAAACTGTGGCGTCCTGAATGTTTTATGAACAGCCCCGGACTTCTCTTTTAGGACTCTTTTAGCGACTTACCGCTCAGAGGGAACTCATTCAGCGGCTCCTCTGGCAGCAGCACAGCGTCTTTCCCTCTCCTCTCAGTAGACGGCATTGCCATTCAGAGTTAAAACTGTTAAACTATTTGTTGTCCTCTGTGACGGACTTCACAACTTCACGTTACGTAGCTCTGCACACAAGGAGATAACAGGCGATCTGGACAATTACTGGACATTGCTGAAAAAAATACTTAAAGAAATAAACACAAAATTATCTTATTTAATGTATTTTAGTCTATTCTTTGTAAACAATATGACACAACATCGCAACAGGTCACCATTTGTGTTTCGTTTCACTGTCCTGCCATTCGTCAGAATGTTTGTGTTTCCCATGCCATCCG